AACAGTTGTGCTGCTTAATATTTTTGTGGAAACCATAATAAATGTTTTCATAAATTCTTTGATGAATAGAAACAACATTTAATTGCCGAGTTGAGTTTAATTGAATTTAGTTGATAAGTTAAAATATTAACTTCTTAAAAATAAACCTTAGTAATCTTACTAAACTTTTGAACGATAGTGTATATGTAGTTTATCTCAGAATTAAATTATTATTTATAATTGAGAACTATATTACTTATAGTTGCGTCATATACATAGTTTTAGTTCAATTTAAGTATCAGTCTCATTCATTAAACACAATTAATAGTCACAGAAATCATGACGTTGCTTGAATTGCAGATCCACGCCTGGATTCCTACAACCATCTGACCCTTTAGGTTGCACCTATTTCAGGAATGCAGACAGACCCGCTGTGAGATGTTCATCGCTGTCACAGAGAAACTAAACAATGCCGTAGCTATAAACTGTTACTAATCAAGAGCATTACTGTAATAAACTTCATACATCTTGAATACCAGTTTAAGGCTGAAGTTATTCTGAGCTGTGAAAAGAAATTCTGTAGGTCTGGTTTCAGCTGCAGCAAAAGATATTTGACAAAAGCTTTGTCAGGAGGTACTTTTTCATGCAGGCGGCATTCAATGTAAAGTGTTGCCAACAAAAAGTTCTTCTATTCTGTAGTATGTTCCAGTGTATTTGTGGGTGTGTCAGTGTGATTTGTGATTAATTCTTGCCTCAAAGTCACTGGGATGAAACATGTTTTGGATGATGATGACTTTTTCATGCCTTTTGCGAGTTTCCCCAGCCTTCTCCGGCCTCCAGTCCAGCTGCCTGTTAATCATAAATTACAAAAATGTCAGTCATATCTACAGCAACACAGAAAATATGGTGATTAGGCAAAGCATTACTGCACCATGCGTCGGAATCAACTATATAGAGCTGCAAGTCAGTTTCAGAATCAGAATCAGAATGAGCTTTATTGCCAGGTATGTTTACACATACGAGGAATTTGTTTTCGTGACAGAAGCTTCCACAGTGTAACAGAATGACAGTGACAGAACAAAAAAAACAGATAATAAAAAATAAAAAATAAAAAGTAAAACTTGCAGGGATATAACTAAAGACAGGACAAACTAACAAAAACATAAAAACAACTGCGGAGCACGCCACGGAGGCAGCCATCAGCGTCGGCGCCATCGCGAACACGCCATCGTTTGAACAGGTTCTTACTTTTGTTGCTGCTGAAGCTTTTTGCGGTATTCTTTGTTCTTTTTCTTCTTCTTGTTGGCGTCATATTGTCCTTTGAGTTCGAATCGCGCTTCCTCCACGTGCAGCCGGTAGCCCCGAATCTCTGTCTCATCCAAAAGCCGCTCGGCAAGAGCTACAGACTCTTTCTGCAAGGAATAATAAAATAATGAAAACATTTGTCTACAAATGATATAAACAAGCATGTAAACAATGTTTAAGAGCTTAAAAATGTTCATTTGAAATACAGCTGAAATTTAAAAAAAAAAAGTTGCAACTAGCTAAAATGGTTTTAATTTTAAGTACTAAATTACTATAACTAAAAAAAATAAAAAATAAAGCTAAATAGAAATATAAAAAAAACAGATAAACAACAAAAGTACATAAAATGACTTAAACTTGAACTAAATTTAAAATGAAAATATAAAAATTTAATTCAAAATAATTAATAAATATTATAATAGTATATAAATAATAGTAAAATAACATTGAATGCAAAACATGTAAGTGTTTTTATTTTAAATATTTAGAACATAACTTTCATGTTGTGTTTTGGTCATTTAGAGACCCAGCGAGGGTTATCTTTTTCCTGAAAATGCTAGTTAATGTTATCAAATTGGACTAAAACTAACTGACTTTGCTCACACAGGGCATAACAACTTCTCAAAAAAAAACAAAAAAAAAAACATTTCTGATAATTTTTGGGGTACTTTTTTTCCACTGTTACACTAGTGGTGTTCCCGGTCAAAAATAACCAGCCTTGTAAATTTCTTGTTATGCTGTCAACTTGTTTTCTTTCAGTTGTCATGGGTTTTACATTTCTTTTTGGAGCTGACTTCTGAGCTAATGCACTTTAGTTTTTGAGTAAACCCTGGCAAAAATATCCACATATAATGCTCTTTTACTCAAACTAAGTTGCATAAGCACAGATCAATGAAGCATACGATCTATCAATTTCATTCAAAATTTTCAGCACAGCACAAGAGATAAATATACCTGATCATAGTATTACAATGACCAACCTTCAGGTAGCAGCAAAGTCCGTCTCCTTTTTGGTTCCCGTCCTTGTCCTTGTAAAGCTTAATTTTATACTCTTCTGTGATAGGATCACGCATGATAATTCCACATTTTGACATGATCTCCACAAACTCATCAGGAGTAATATCTGGAGGAAGACCTAGCAGAAAGACACATTCACTAAAACACATTTCGTGAACCAAATTTTGGATTGACAGCCAATTGATTTAAAAAAACAAACCGGGTCATATCATACCAGTATTTACAACATGATATCAAATTCATATCAAAATTAAAAACAAATAGCACATAAATAAAAACAAATGGCAATTATTTACCCGTCACATAAACATTGGTGTTTTTGTCCTTTTCAACTTCAAACCATCCTGTAAAACACATCACATGTGTTTGTTAATATAATTAGAATACTTGGTAAAAAATAATAAAATAAAATTGGTAATGAATAACTTCTAACCTGGATCTGCTTTCCTTTTCTCTCCTTTCTGAGCTCCCTCCTTAGCTGTTCCCTGGTTTGAGCTCTCCTCCAGCTTCTTGGGTTCTTCAGGTTTCTTGGGCTCCTCCGGTTTGGCAGGGAGGGATTCGGAAAAAGGGACCGCAGCAGTTGGATCAGGGGCCCCATCCTCATTGAATCCATAGTTTGCTTGATATGCTGCGATGAAATCATCATTTACCTATAAAGAAACAAATAAGTGAACTTTAATACAGAACTTAAAGCGAATTAGCTCTTACTGGGTTATGAAAACAGACTAATTGAGTAAAAGTAGTATTCTGTTTGGTAACCGGAGACCTTTGGAAACCATGCTCTCTTTTCATGGTCCCAGTCGTACACAGTGCCGTCTTCTGGGTCGACGTATGTGTTTGGATCCTCTCCACCCTCTCGCCTCTGTTCATACAGCTGCTGCAAACGGAGCTGCTCATGGAACACTTTATTACTATCTGAATCGCCGCTCATCTACAGAAACCAAGATAAGACAGAGATATTTGTGAATCATGAGCTCTGCAGACACGAAAGAAACTACATATATAAAAACATACATACATATATGTGTGTGAGAGTGTGTGTGTATGTATATATATATATATATAGGGGTGGGAATCACATGGCACCTCAAAATACGATACGATACATGGCTCACGATACCAACAATATCATGATACAGCAATTCTGCGATAACTGATATATTGCTAGACAATCCTATTATGATACATCACGATATCATGCAAATAATGCAGTTCTTGCACATCGCATACTCTTTGTCGATTTTGTTTGTCCCATTAATGGTATAAAATTCGAGGTGGGTTCAGACTTTGGACTTAAACGTGGCTGGGGCATCTATTATTTTACTCACACTGCTGTCCGCCACCCCATTAAAAACCTCTTTTTCTTAGGCTAGTTAACTTATGTTCACGTTTCCCTCATTCATGTGTTGAGCGTCACCTCGAGGAGCCATTAAGTAGCGAGATGGGAGCAGGGAAATCTATTTAGAGCGCCTCGTTTTATTAATTTAAATATCGAAGGCCAACGATATATTGCACGATCGATATTGTATATATAGCCTATCTACATTCGTTGCCATTACATTTTAGTGAAAATTTTGTTACAAGGTGATTATAATGGCAACCAATGTAGATAGGCTAAGTGTGATAGCCAGGCTAAAAATAATAAGAAACCGATAGACCACACTGGAAATAAATGAATTTTGGGCGTGCAGTAAGAATTGCCGCTTCATTTGGGGCCTGTTATGAGTTCTCAAAGTTTTCAGCCAAAACATGTTTTGATAGTTTTGATGATGAGACAGACTGATGTGAACTGACCCACATCAATCCGCTTATGATGATGGGACGGGTAAACACACAGCTGCTTATCGGCTTTTTTAGAGCCACTGCATCTAGATTTAATGTATGAGGTGAACAATAAGAATCTGCTTATAATACAATGTTTTAACATTTTAAATAAAGAATATAGGAAAAAAACATCCCACCTTTCCAGTGCTGAGCCTCCAAAACGTACAAGTGTTGCACTTCCGAAGAATGTGCAAATCCGCAGCTATGCGTCTTCCGGAATGCAACTGTCGACCGCACACGTGTAGTTCCTCTTGCAGTACTAACAAGTATAGGTGCGTCCCAAATCGCACTTATGCACTATTCTATGACGTTTTTAGTATATAATAATGCGAGTAGTGCGTTCACACTGAACATTAATTACGTAGCGAAGGGACTCCGTTTATGAATGACAAAATAACCTTATATAATTTATACACTACATGGTTGAGTACATAGTGCATAGGTACATAGTGTATAGTGCGTCATTTGGGACGCAGCTTATGTTTTTCATTCAAATTCACTCTTTAGGTTTATTTAGACCTTAAAATATTTATTTAGGAAATGTGTTGATTATTTCACAAAAATGGCACATCTCCTCAAACAAATGATACATTACATCATTTAAATATTTGGTGTACATGTTGACACAGGAATAGGTGCATTAGTACAGTGACTCCTAATCAAGCCAGATTTACATCATTTTTGTTTAAGCCTCAACATACTTTTTCTTGATTGTTTCATGAAACAATGTTAGGATATAATGTAATATAATCTGAGGATTCGGTTTTCTACATGTTTATTCACTCATTTTTTAAGAGCCAAATGTCATTTTTAAATTGAAAGTTACCAGAAAAACATGCACTTCAGTACAGAGCAACAAACAAAAACAGTCACATTTATGTGGGATAGATATCTGTGTCAAATCCATTCTTCCATGGCCTTGAAGGAAACTCGAGCCCACTTGCTGTGGCAGGAGATGTATCATAGGGAAGAACCGTCAATCCTGCTCTGGCTCTTGGTATTACCAAACTGTTTTCATATACAAATCCTATCACAGGAAAAGTTAAGACAAGAAAACGTAAAATATTTGAACATTATAGTATTAACAATATATTATATTGGTAATGTCTTACCCAGGTCGGGTCTTGTGATAGTCATTTGACGTTGGCTGGACTCTGAGGAAACCGTTGAGCTCTGAGTTGAATTAGACTTGATGGATCTCACAGATGCCATGAAAGGAAACGTATTTGGTGGATTGGGTTTGTGTTTGGGAACCACAGTTGCAGTTTGGCTCCATTCTGAAAACAATCAGGAAGTTAGTGTTTGTTTTCCAAGATTGTTACAGTTACAAGAAAGAAATTTGTGCTTTACCAGAGTATTCCTGCAGCTTGAAAGCACCACAACATAAATGTATTCTCCATTGCTTGCATACATTTTCCTTCATGAGACAATGGAACACAAAAATAAAGAATCCTGGAACAAATCACAACATATTAATGGACTACATCCTAAAACTCAATCTAAATTAATTGTATGTGCTCTTTCTCACCTTGAAGGCTGTTCAGTATGGAGAACAGGTAGAGGAAGAACACTTTGACAGGACCCCAGGCGAGAAAAGCCACAGACCAGGTGAGACCCAATAAGAAGGTAAGGCTCACCACAGCACGCAGGTCTTTCAAGATCCCACTTCGGGTGCCTGCCGGTTGATTGACTTGCATGTTTCGGATCTGGATCAGAACCACTAAGAAGATGGAGCCATTGCACAGTAGTATGAAGGCTATGTAGCTCACTACTGACACGTAGAAAACCACATCATTTTGCACCCAGCAGCTGAAAAAGATATGAAATAATTCACTTTCATTCGACATGATGGTAATGTAAAGTTATTTCTTATTTGTAATGTTGTTCTGTCACGATTTTCATGAAAAATCAATTATCCAACTTCACTAACAACATTTCCGAATCATCCAGTGTAATTTGAGAATCACTCATGGTGTTCATGCCATATGCATCTCTCTTTATAGCCACCACCAAGCCACATATAATAAGCGGAATCCCTGTACAAAGACATAATGGATGTTAAGCAGAGATAAATGAACGAATTGAAAACATAAATCTGTCTCTAAATGTTTAAATGAGCTTAAATGTCTCACCCCAGCCAAGCAGGCAGAATTTCAAGATGTATGAGGGCACATACACATTGAAAACTTTAACCAAAGCAAAGTACATATTCACAGCCCCCAAGCCCATCCAGGTGAAGGAAGTCAGTAAGAAATAGTGTAAAGTCACTGCTACAGCAATGCACAGGCCATGGATGCCAAAAGAAGAAATCCAGGAGTTCAGCAGGAACACCAGGTTCAGTCCCAGTAATGCAAGAGACAGATTCAACAGAATTTTGGATGGGTAGTCTCTTCTTAACTTCCTGTATTAAGATGCAATGCATCCAAAGTTAATAGCAAAGCAATGTAACATGAGAAATGACCTATAAAATGTAAATTTTCTTGTAAAACATTTAGAATAGATATGAAAATGATGGCATTGGGGAGAGCGAGGTGATTTGAGCCTGTGGGGAAGTTTAAAACAAAATTGGTGATGTGACCACAAGTTATCCATTTTACTCACCCTGTGATGGAATGTCCATGGAATAATTGGTAACTACATTTAAGTTCAAAAAACAGTTTTTTGCTGTTCAAAGTGATTTTTGTATGTTCAAGGACTCATGCTTCTTGTGTCTGAACAATTACATACAAATCTGAAAAATCTTGTGCTTTAGGAGGTTAATATATGAGGCTATACTGTTAGCATGATGTTAGCTCTAAACTTATGGATGATACAAGTTTGTTAAAATGGTAGTAGTGGGGTAATTTGAGCCAAAAGTCCTGGGGTAAGTTGAGCCAGTGGCTCACCCCTTCTTATAGTTATAAAGTATTATTTTACTGTAATTCTACATTATACTTCATTAATTTTAAACATTTTAGATTTTGTTATTTGTTTTGAACTTGATTTTGTTCTGAAAATTTTAAATAGGCCTTGTTTATGAAAATTGGCCATTGAAGTTTTTTATGAAATTGTATTTCCCTGCAACATCTATAAGTGGGATGTTAAGTTCTATTAAGCCCAGTTCTGTAAGATCAATTGCAGTCAGTTTTTATTTTTTGAATTTTATTTTGTGCTGAAAGTTTGTAATAATTAAAAAAATGCCTTCAGAGTTGTGAACTGTATCTTTAAATACAATTGTTAGAAGTATAATTCCATTATCCAAACCTCTTTGTCCTTATTAGGGTTGTGGGGAGCTGGAGCGTAACCCAGTGTTTTGAGCCACAGGTAAAGAAAAACCCTGGATGGATGGTCAGTCCACCACTAGGCTCACATATAGATTTGAAGAAGTCATTTTTATTGAATTTCTCTTCCTTTGATATAGCATGAGGTGAAAATGTTCAGTTTTACTTCAGCATAATCAATGGCACAGCTTAACTTTTTGTGGCTCAACTTGCCCTCTCCCTATCCTCAATTTACCCTGCACTGGGGGCAAGTTGAGCCAAGAGACCACTTTTTTTATATAAGTATTTAGATCAAAAGTGATTATTCCCAAGGATGCACCACATCCTGAAATTTAAATACAAATTTAAGTTGAACCCATTACTGTCGTGTGCTCACTTTAAACACACCATAAGTAAAAACTGGCTCAACTCACCCCGTTCTCTCCTATATGGTGGTAATGCAAGAATGCTGCATTGCCATATATAAACATAAATTATAAATTACATCTTACTCTAAAAGGGTGTATGTTAGCACTGTGATCCCAAGAAAGCATGAAGACACACCACAACCCATGTATGTAATAAGAGTGAGGATTCGCTCATTCTTCTCATCAATGGGTGTTCTGGATACATCCTTAAATAAAAAAAAAACTTGGCTTAATAGACATTATTGAGACTAAAATATTCAATGCACATATAAGTAATTGTAATTGAGTATCAAACACAGAATCATGTTGTACCAGCAGCACTCCAAAGTGGGTCATGTGGTCACACAGACAGGTTGTGTAATCATTGCTGCTATTATATGTCCAGCACCCCTTTTGATTCCATCCGCCATATCCATCTAAAATAGAACATGCACAAACCCACCCACTCATGAAATATAGCACCTAATGTGAGAATAATAATAATGAATAATATTATAATATTAGATAATAATAATATTAGAATAATAACTTGCCATTCTTATTGAAATCCCAGTAGACACACTGGACATTCTGGTCTTTCTGTCAAAGGTAAAGACAAATTTAGAAATAATTTCTGCCCGTGTTTTTTTAAAATTCCTGGACATTCCTAAGTACTACTTACTTTCTTAGTTGTTAGATGGTGCAGAGTGACTGCAACGTATTCTTTTAGGTTTTCAATGCGTCCTGTGGCATTAGTCACACTTGCAGACACCACGTAAGTGTTCAGTCTTTTCCCATCTGGGTCATTCTGAGACAAATTCACAAACGTAGTTTGTCAAAATAATCTAACAGTGAGATAGACAAACTGTAAAATGAACATCTGCCACTGACGAAGTAAGATTAAGTCACCTTTGTTTGAAAGAGAGTCGGAACTCCGTAAAACTGAAACTGAACACGGGGGCTGGTATTGTTTATGATGGGGAATCTCTCTTGTATTTCAGAGGGCAGAGAAATGAAGGCCACTGTACCATCAAAAGGCTCTCGGTTGATATAAATCTATAGAAGAAAAGCATAATGTTTGATCATTGTGTGATGATTTATATGCTTCATTACATTATATTACAATATAAAACAGAAATTCAAACTTACTGGCCAAATAAGCTCAGTTTCTCTGAAACATTCAATGGTCAATTCTTGATTATGCTTAATTTATAATTATTACATAAATAATAAATTGTATATTATATTACATTATGTTACATTACATAATATTATTATAACACATGCAGAGTGTTAAAAAAGTTCGGGGTTGTCACCGAGGCTGCATTTATTGGATCAAAAATACAGTAAAATACTATAAAAATTATTTTATATTATAAATATTATAATATACCATTTTAATGCATATTTGAATGTAATTTCAGCATCATTACTCCAGTCTTCAGTGTCACATGATCCTTCAGAAATCATTTTAATTCGCTGATTTGCTGCTCAAGACACAATTCTAATTATTATAAATGCCGAAAACAGTTGTGCTGCTCAATATATTTTGCCTGCTCAATATTTCCTGTGGAAACCGTGATACATTTTTTTCAGGATTCTTTGAATAGAAAGTTCAAAAGAACAGCATTTTTTTGGAATATAATTTTTTTTAACAATATAAAGGTCTTCACTGTCACTTTTCGATTCAATTGAATACATCCTTGCCTAATAAGTATAATTTCTTAAAAAAAAAAAAAAAAAAAAAATTTGTACTATCCCCAAACCTTATATAAAAATTAAGTTCCACTAGTTTCATGAAGGTGTTGTGCATGTGTGCTCACCTCAGGGTTTAAGCCTTTGTTACTGGATGAGACTCCAAAGGTGAGGTTGTGAAAATTTCCTTGGTCAATATTGACCACTGATATTGCTAAGGCAGAAGCTGTTAAACTGACCGACTCTCCAGTGAACCATAACATCTGGTCTCCAACAGACTCTGTGATGTTCAGAATACTACACAAATACAAGGAAGGGTTTTTTGTTTACACGGAAGGCATAAAAATCCACCTGTAAAACCCTCTCACACAACACCAGACCTAATTTAATGTATATTTACGCACAATATATTTCACTGTTAACCACATAAACTAAGTCATTTTCCGTATTTTTGTTTGATTTTTATTACTATCATTGTTTAATAAACATCAAGCAAATATATTAAATGAACACTCAGAGTCTCACATACACACACCTGTTGGTGAAAGGCAGCAGGTTGCTGTCAGACTCCAAGATGTCAGAGGTGATGTTGATAATGACCTCTCCCAGCGGAGGTGTGATCACGCTAACGTTAATCACATCGGCTAGTTTATCCAGTACCATTGAGAGCTCGTACTCATCCAAATCTTTGTTCTCATGTATCAAATCCTCAATCATGAGCAGAATATCTTCTGCATTGTCTAATAGGGAAATGCACAGGGAGTGTTTTTAAGATGTGCCCATATATTATCATATGTTTGGATCATATAGATGCTAATGTGTTCAAACAGATTACTAACATACTTTTGTCTTTGCTGTGAATGAAAGGATGCTTTTATGTTTAATTCAGTTCACTTCTGTTTATTTTAAAAGAATAGTTCACCCAAAATAAAAATTTGCTGAAAATGTTCTCACCCTCAGGACATCCCAGATGTAGGTGAGATTTGCAGAAATGTAGCATTACATCACTTGCTCACCGGTGAATGGGTGCCGTCAGAATGAGAATTGTGATGTTTTTATCAGCTGTTTGGACTCTCATTCTGACGGCACCCATTAACTGCAGAGCAAGTGATGTAATGCTAAATTTCTCCAAATCTGTTCTGATGAAGAAACAAACTCATCTACATCTTGGATGACCTGAGGTTGAGAACATTTTTTTAGCAAATTTTCATTTTTGGCTAAACAATTCCTTTAACAGGAAGCTTGTGTATCTAATTTAAATTCTGTGAAGGGATTACCATTAGTGACTGTAATGTCCTCCAGATCTGACACAGTGTTGACCACAACCTGGCATTGCCCCAGGTCTGGAGATTTCCAAAGAGCATTGTTAGAGTTTGCACCTAGAAAACTGTTGGGAGAGAAGGGTGAGACTGTCACAGTCGATAAACCTATCAAACCATGAATTATTTGGATCACTTCCCCCCATTAACTTGTTAATGAATTAAATTGTTCAGAGCCGCTTGACTCCAAGATACACAACATTATATAATGCTGTTCAGGTTCGGGTTTAAAACCTGCTCATCCATTTTATGGCTGTAAATAAACCTTGAACGACTGAAACATCATGGAAACACAAGAGATTGCTTTCCCTCTGCAATGAAATCGATCATACAAACAGTTCTGACATTAATGATACTACTATATGGAACATACATGTGATTAATTGGTTTACAGCAGCCCCTTCAAATATTAAATCAGACGCTTCCTCTTTTTAGAGTTAGTGATTAGGAACAATAACCCAGTGGAGTGTCAAAAGATTTACAGGCTGTCCATCAATGTCTCATTAAGTAGAACAGACAGGCAACTATGAACTGGAATTGTTAAATGATTTAATGCAATTATTATCATTTGATTAAAGATGAAGTGTGTAATTTCCGTGCCACACCAAATGTACTTGTAATTGGCTGTTTGAGACGTTGGCTCAACTGTTCCTGGAAGAACGCTTTCCAGAATTTTTGCAAATTGAGAAAATTGAATGTTCCCTTTAAAGTTTTCCATAATCAATGTTTGTGTAAGTAAGGGAAAGAATTCTTAAAACTTTTGAAAATAATGTTTCATGACTTAATAGGAGCATAGGAGAACGTTCTTAGAATATTAATTAGTTCGATGGGAATGCTGGGAATTATTTTTGCATTTATGTCTGGTGCTGCTAGTCATACAGAAATTACATTCTTTATCGTTAAGCGTCATATATTTTGGTTTGGTTTGTATCACGCAGATACAAAAAATATTTAAAATATATTTCTTTAAAAAAGTATGAAGGAATTTCGAACATCAATTCTATTTAGGTAAAAGTGAACATTTTCAAGAGAGGCTCTTACCATTGTCTATATGCTGTCTTTTCAGGGTTTCCCACACAGGAAAGCGAAACGATGAGCTGAACCCCAAACTGGGGCCATTTGAAAAGCCCATGCCTGGTGTGATGGTTGTGCTCAGGGCATGGCTCTTTTTTTAGAGAAGAAGAAAGATATACATTCAGACAACTCTGTGTGTGGTTACAGAATTCAATAATGTAATTAAATTCCTCAGTCCATATTACAATGAAAGAGAGGTATGAAGTATTGAGAATGAATCATGATCTGATCCTCCCATCATCTGGTCAGATGCAGCACATACCAATATAAGAAATGAAAATGTCCTCGGGTTGGGCATATAAGAATACTGCTCCACTGCTGTATGGTTTCTCCAGAAGTCTGTCAATCAGGTTTATTGTCTCTGTGATGTTTGAGGAAGTTTTTACCTGGGCATGAAAGACACAGCTATGGCTGGGAACAAGCCATATCAGATAACCCCATTAAAACACATTGTATGTTCACGACAATTATTGTTCACTATTGTTTACTTTTCTTCAACTGCTGTCTTGTAATGAACATCTTACCTTGTTACTAAAAGCAGGGATTGCTGCCAGACAAATGAGCAAGATAACAGGATATATATTATACAAGATAACTCACACACACATACATATATATATATATATACTTTTTTTATTTTAATGTCCATTTTATATATATACTTTTTTTATTTTAATGTTCATTTTAGTAGAAAAAAATGAAAATTGCTGTTAATATCTGGAAGCATGTACCTTTCTATCCAGTTTAAATGACTTTGTTTCCACACTGCAAACACAAATCAGACATGCATGTTAAACAAATTCTACAGTGTGTCTTGTGGTTTGGTCTGTTCTCTGCAAAATCAACAAGACTGACTGACCTTTGTTTTCGTGCATGTGTTGAGGAAGTCAAGATTTTTAAGTGCAACACGTCTATTCCTTTACTAGAAAGAGTTTCATGAAGCTGTAGTGATGATAAAAAACATCTGTGATGTGATACTGATGCTGAGATGTAGTACTTTTTTCCAGTTTGACATGCAACACATTTGGATAATTTTAGGTTTTCTTGGTTTAATATCTTACCCAGGTTGTAATTATGTTCTCAGGGTCATCAGAGCATATGATATTCACACTGACATTGACATTGAAATAACTTTCTATATACACGACAGAGAGATATTGTTAAATAAGCCATACTTTGCAAAAGAAGTAATTGCACATAGAATATGTTTTTTTTTTAACACAAACAAAAAGTAAATTCTTGACCTGATATGTTTCCTTCAGGTGAAATAGTAGAAGAGCATGCAGTTGTATTTAATGTAAGACTTGTTGTGGAAGATAAAGCAGTTGTTTCTTTGATTGTCGTGGAACTTCCTGCCAAGGTTGTTTCCATTAATGCTGTGGAGGTAGTGACTGTTGAAAAAAATGAAGAGATAAACATCTAAAGAATCCTGGGTTAATCTTAAATTGCATATATGCATGTTACAGTCCATAAGAGAGAAACTGATACATAGTTGCTGTACAGACTTCTTGCTGTTTCTGTTAAGGATGAAACAACTTCTGTTGTTGTCACTTGATTGGGTGTTGTGCCTGTTGTTTTTGCAGTAGTGATAATTTCAGTAGTTGTAGAAGTCCGCTGAGGAATTGTGGTTGTTGGTGTTTCAGTTGTACGAGGCAAAGACTCAGTCACTGTTATGGGTGGGTTTGTGTCTGGGTCTGGCAAGAGATCATCTATAGAGTAAAAAAATTAAAATAAATAAAAACATTAATAAATGTACTGGTATTTGTTAGCTACACCAGAAACATGCTTGACTTTGCTAAAGGACGAATTTGTGGTTTGTATGGAAATTATGATATTTTTGTTTTCTACTTAATTTTTTAAAGCATCTTATCCATCCTGGATCTGACTTACCAAGAGTATATATGAAGATGAAGTTAGCATCTGTATGTATTTCGTAGTGGTCAATTTTGTAACGCTTGGCGAGGATCTCAGTGAGTTCATCCTGTATTCGTCCTACATCAGCACTAGGAGTCACATTCAGGCGAGCCAAGCAGTCAAACCTACAAAGATACATAAGGATGACATTATCAAACATTTCTCAAATTTGTAATTGTAATTTTAAAATTGATCATTAATAATGCATGTTTTTTTCTCCATGAAAAAGTAAATAAATATGCCAAAACCAATAAATTAAGGGAAAATTATTTTAGAATGGAGAAAAGAAGCAACTGAGAAGTGATCCTCACTGGCTGAGTCCAGGACTGGTTGCCCACAGTTGCATGGTTCCCCCCTGAAAAGAGACATTTATCTTGTTAGTTTGATGAGTATGTTTCATGATTTTTAATTTTATACAGATCTATACAGTCTTAAACGAATACTTCACCCAAAAATAAAACATTTGTTGAATGTCATCAGAACAGATTTGGAAAGATTTAGCAATATATCACATGCTCACCAATGGATACTCTGCAGTGAATGGGTGCCGTCAGAATGAGATTAAAACATCACAATAATCCACTAGTAACCCACACGACTCCAGTCCATCAATTCATGTTTTGTGAAGTGAAAAGCTATGCTTTTGTAAGAATCATGATTTAGATATTTTTTTACTTTAAATTGTTCCTTTTAGCCAAAATCCATAAGTTTCCTCATCTAGTGAAAAAAAAAATCCATTCCCTGTTGTCCTCTCACATCAAAATCCACCAACATATTCGTTTAGAACAAACATGGACAGTTTTTGATGTAAACAGTGCTTGACCTGTGCACATTTATCTTCTGATTCAGATGAGACATTTTTTTCAATGAAGAAAGCAATATGGAGAGAGGACTCTTATTTTAGCTGGAAGCAATAGAAAAATGTCTTAATGATAGATTTGTTTCACACAAACAAACACGCATCTTTTCACTTCATAAGACGTGCTGTGATATAATGCAACATTTCTCAAAATCTGTTCTGATGAAGAAGCATACTCATCTACACCTTGGATGGCCTGGAGGTAAATACATTTTCTGCAGATTTTTATTTTTGGGTGAACTATTTGGGTGAACTATGTAACTGACGCACCTTTGCATTTCCACTGGAGCGTGTAAGAACGCTGTTGAAAGATAACATGATTAAATTTGGATTCTGGCCTGAAAAATTTGAATATATTTATAAAGTTATTAAAAGGTCTTACCTTCCTAAAGGAAACACTTTGACTTTATACAAATATATGGATGTCGGCCCCAATTTGAACTGTTCTAATGCTTGTGTCAACTTGGAGAGGAAACATATACAAATATTATTGACATTTTGTCTTGGTAGTAGCAGCAGTAAAAATTCAATGTGTGTTTTCTATAGCTCACCCACTGACGTGCAACTTCTTGAGCATCGCAATTGTTTGTTTTGTTTCCATCTTCACGAAGGATGACAAGCACTAATTTTACTTCATAATAGCGCCAGTCTGCAACAAGAGGAAATTGTGTCAGATATAAAAGAGTCCAATAAAGGGAACATATACAAGGGAACTATTTTTTGAAAGCATTAAGAGTTACAAATTCCTTTTTGTGGCCCTATTATATGCTTCATAAACTGTAGTCTAACACAAAACTAACCTAGCATTAAAAATAGAGGATAGACAGTAGGCCTATTGCCACACCTGTGAGGTGGATGGATTATCTCGGCAAAGGAGAAGTGCTCACTAACACAAATTTAGACAGATTTGTGAACAATATTTGAGAGAAATAGGCCTTTTGTGTACATAGAAAAAGTCTTAGATCTTTGAGTTCAGCTCATGAAAAATGGGGGCAAAAACAAAAGTGTTGCTTTTATAATTTTGTTCAGTGTAATTAGTGATAATGTTCGGTTGAATGTATTTCCTTTTCTCAGATGAAATGGACTTCATATGTAACTTTGGCTCTCTAGCGGTTAAAAAATGAAGTTGCATTCGTCTTGTGGAAGAATTCATTGTTTGGTTGTGCTTTCCTTTTGATATTTATTTACATTGCCAAAAAAATAAAGAAAAGTCACACTAATCTTGGTTTTAAACTGTATTTTGATATGTTTGTGAAAATTGCAAATCTTATAATTATATAGAAAATAATATAAAAAAAAAATTGTAAAGAGTTTTAAAGTATTTTTTGTACTCTGCCATATCCAGTGGCATTGTTAACAATTTTTGTGTGTATATTTGTGTCCCTTACCGCACTTTTGCGTAACGTCTTGTATAGGCTTACAGTCCGGGGCTTTGTTCCAGATTCGTTCCTCCCAGTGCAGAATATCCCCATCAGTGCAGGCCATCTCAGATATGTCTTGAGCGCTGCGTACTCGTCCCCACACCCTGAACAAACTTAAGCTGCCCTTCAGTTCAGTGCCCGTCTCTATGCTTATCTTGCTCTTCACTAACTCGTGGTCCACAGCTAAAGTCAGAGTACCACCGGCAGCCACGCTACAGCAGTGAGGGTGCAGAACTGTTCCTTTAGGCTGTGGTTTTAGTTCTACTTTGCTTCCATTGACATAGACTTTTGGCCCAGTCATGGAGCTGGACCAGGTCATGCAAACTGAATGCCAGTTGTCCAAGGACACCACTGAAGATTTGCTCCAGACCCTTCCAAACATTATGATTTGGAGGTCTGATCCCTTTCCCCTCAGCCCAAGCTCTATGAGTGTCTTATTAGGGTGCCGGTACGTGAACGCAGTCCAGTGTGAATTGCTGAGCTTCCTTTTTATGTTCACACACACACTGAGCTCATTCAGGGCAGGGATTTTGTGTTCATTTTTCAGCATCCAGTAACTACAGTCCTTCTTCATGAAATCCACCTCCTTCCCCCACAAACTGGCAGCATTTACTGATCCTCAGGTGTAGAAAAAAGAAATTTGCAAAACATATTTTAGCATATTATCCCTTTAGGGATTTGATCCCTTCAATCAAATTTTTTATATACCAAACAAACAAAGCTCAAATATGTATGGAGTAACTAAGATTCCCAATTTTGAAACGTATGTTATAATTTGTGAATGTTAAAATATTTTGCACAACAATAATACCTCCATCCTTCAATGCTATTATACATAGAATGAGGAAGATGAATAAGGCCTGAACCAGTTTATTGCGTTTTTCCATTCTCCACCTACAAGAAATAGTAATAATAATAAGTAAACATTAATTAAAAGTTGTGTTGTGCATATAACACATATCACACATTACAAAAATATTAAAAAACGAAGCAGAAAATTGGTTTTGCTTTTATATTATATAGTTTAAAACAGTATCAAGCTCCAGTGCAAACATAGGGTTAAAATAATTTCTGATTGTACTTCTCTCAGAAAAAAGGAACAAAACTGTCACCCTTACAAAAGGTATAAAGATGTTAACTTTTGGTGTTAATATGTAGTTTTAAAGTACTAATATTTGCCATTATGTTACTAATGCGTAGCATTTAGGTAAATGAGGTACAAAGATGTACCCTTTAGCTTTTGTATCCCAGTGCTTTCTAGTTTTTTCTGAGTGTTGAATAATATTCTGATTTGTAGATAAATTTAATAAATGTATCTATTAAAAATGAAAGTACTTGTAAATTATTCAATACTTTTTCACTATGAAGTCACAAAAAATATCAGATGTAGTAGAATCCAAATCCAAAATGAAATAATAGAATTACTCACTGCATTCAGCATCTGCTACTGTCAAATTTCCAAAATGGTAATTTCTTCATTCAAGAGAGTAACTGTTTTTGAACATGTATGTTGATGTGAAAGGAATGACTATGAGAGAGATCTTGTTAAAAAAGTCCCCCTGTCATCCTTTTGGGTTATTCATTAAGCTCATCAATCATTCACTTATTCAGATTAGCCATGACATATACTGTGTCAACCAATGACTGTGTACATATGCACACCATCTTCATAAAGCAGCTATATGATCAGTCAGTATAGCTGTTATATGATTAGCAAACAACAGGTGCAACTTTAAGTATTTTTACAGTTTCTGGACAGTTTACTCTGAAATCACCAACTTCATAAAATGAAACAGGCCTACAATAAAGTAGGCTAAAGACATTATCTGGTGCTGAAATGCCTACTTTGATCAACTTTCATACTGATTAAGACAATATGCTCTTGAACTCGTCAATGCATGAGTACATTGGTAAGTTCTGAAATTTAAAACACAAGAAAAAGTAAAAACTATACTTTAAAATATACCTTAAAGTATTATGGATTCTGATTGGCTGTCATTGTTTTTATCATTCATAAGCTGGGAAAACGATGTCGTTCCCCTGTGTTGTTATTGTTATAGTTGAATGGGGACACCTCTATTCTCATAAGTGATTATTAAAACGTTTTAGTTATTGTTGTCATTATTGTATGTTTTGTTGAAAATGTATACTTTTTATTGATTTATTTATGGCAACATTGTAATACAAAAGAATATTCAATACAATAACCATTTTTTCTACAGTATGTTTTCAAAAAATGATCAAAACATCTTTTGGAGGACTTTAAATTTGGGGTAATTTACTGGTTCTGTGAAATATTGTGCCACTAGATGTCGCAGCTGTATGTAAAAACACGGCATTTAACGAATGCAAATGACAGAATCCTAACTTCATTTTTTTCTAGATGTCGCTGTTTTCTGAAATAACACACAACATTTAAAGAGCACAAAGGACAGACTCCCAACTTTATTTTTCTCAGATCATACAAAGGCAAATAAAATAACATAATTGTCATGTTAATTACAGTAAGGAGAATTTGTTAGTAAGGAAACAAAAGCTACACATTTTAATTTTTTTCCAGTATGGGTTTTTTTATACGAAAATGACAAAATGTACAATTAGTATTTCAAATCCCAAGAAAGCAGACTAAAATATACAGAAACACATAGTACTAAAAAGTTCAGTGTCCATGATTACAAGCTGTTAAATATTTAAAAAAGATCAAACCAAAGCTTAATTTTGAAACATTATTTGAAACACAGATGTACCAGTAATACGTCTCAAACGGCAGACCTTTTTATACGAAAATGACAAAATGTACAATTAGTATTTCAAATCCCAAGAAAGCAGACTAAAATATACAGAAACACATAGTACTAAAAAGTTCAGTGTCCATGATTACAAGCTGTTAAATATTTAAAAAAGATCAAACCAAAGCTTAATTTTGAAACATTTGAAACACAGATGTACCAGTAATACGTCTCAAACGGCAGACTTCACCTTCTTAATACACACTTCTTTTCATTATCCATCTTTCATCCTGTCTTACTATCTTTCCTGAGACAAATGCACCTTTGGAAAGAGAGAGGATACGCTTTCCCATCAAAGCCTCTAGGTAAACGTAACGTTCCTCACAGGGAATATCAAACTCCCTTCATAAAGAAGCCAGAACCAACATAACAGAAGCCTTTGTCAATACTTCAGCATATTTATGTGGGACTTTTGTATAAATTCAAATGAATGCTGATATTTTTCTAAAGTAATCTCACTCTTCTGCGTCTCCACGGTCATCAGGCGCTTACAGTTTCTTGGAGCAGTCAGAGCAGTATATGTCTCCATTGTGAGCTACAAAGCGCTTTTCTGCCAGGTTGAGGGAGCACTTCTTACAGTTAAAGCAGTAATCGTGCCAAGAGCCACCTTCATAGTTCACAACATTCGTAGCCTTGCCAAATCCTGAGGGATGAGAAAAGGTAGATTTATTTGTCACTTGAGTTCAAGTCAAATACAGAACTTTTAACAAGAATAATGAACGTCAGTGCATATGTGTGTGTGTATTCAAACCTGTAATGGGATTCTGGCAGCCACTGCATTTCTTGGCCACAGTGCTTTTGTAGCAGTCCACACAGTAGACCTTTTCCTCATGGGAGGTGAAGCGGGTGCCAGCCAGGGGCTTTCGGCAGGAGGAGCACACAAAGCACTCAGAATGCCACGGCTGGTCCTGGTAATTCACACCTCCTGTGGTAATGGGCTGGAGGAAGAGAGCCAAAACATGTGGAAACAATAGACTGAAGCAATGTGTAATGGTCATTTTTTTTTAATCAAAAAAATTTATCTATTTTATAAAATCACTTGTTTTGTATTCACAAAATATATAGTAACCTACAACTTTAAAAGTAATAATTAACAAAAATCCATTTATTTGTACTATAGCTCTCACCTTCTTACAGCAAGCGCATTGTTTGGCAAATTTCTTCTCGTGGCAAGGGCCGCAGTAGATGTTGTTGTTCTTTGTTATGAAACTTTTGGAGCCGATTGGCTTTTGACACTGATAGCAGATGAAACACTCATCATGCCATGAGTTGCCTTTGTATTCCACATTCTCAGTGCCTGGAAAGGAACACAGGAAAGGAAAATGGAAAACAGTCTGTGACACAGACTCCAAGGCCCTCTATTGTCAAAAAGGCCCCTCAAGATATTTCTGGAACTTCTGCTGTAATGTTTGTTTACAGAAACCAGGAGTGGCAATAGCCTATATTAAATAAAATAAAATAATTATAAATAACTCAAATAATTTAAAGTTTCAGTAACTGAATTTTCGTCAGAGTTTACACTTTTACATGAATGAATTATTTTTCTATAAAAATATATAATATTATTTATTATATATTCTAATATATATATATATATATATATATACATATATATATATGAATGTGTGTGTGTGTGTATATATATATATATATATGTGTGTGTGTGTGTATATATAATTTTATAATATATATTATAAAAAAATCTATTTAAATTATATTAATTATATTTTTTACATTTATTTTTATTATTAATTAATTTAGTTGATTCTCCTATATTTTGAGTGTAGAAATCCTTGCTCTAGTTGAGCAAATGAATTAGATAAGTATAATATCAGTTTATAATATAATATAATAAAATGATGTATTAACATGTACTATATATATATAAATCTATTTTATATCTATATATACATTTATACATATACAGCACAAGGTGTAGAGACTATCTGTCCTCTACCTGCCAGTATGGGCTTGTAGCAGCCATGGCAGCGAGGGGCATCCTCACGTGAGCTACATGTCCCACACAGGATCCTGTCATCCTTGGAGGTGAAAGACTCCTTGGCCAGATTCTTATAGCACTTCGCACATCGGAAACAATCCGAGTGCCAGTACCGGCCCTTATGGTGAAGCTCCTACACAGACAGCAGCCAAAAATGAGAGATGTACACACTTGATATAATACAATTTAACTTCAACAATATTTGTGAAAGTATTTCAATATAAATATAAACCACCGTTCAAAAAAAGTTTACATAAAAGTTACATAATATGTCTTTCAAATAAATGCACAAGAATTAGATATTTTAAAATATATTTAAATAGAAAACTTAAATAGTAAACATGTTAATAATATTTACAATATTACTGTCTTCCTATATTTTAATGGTATTTTAAGGGGTAGTGTGTATATTTATTTTTAATTGATTAATTAGTGATAGTGAAAAGATTACTGTAATAGATTACTGAAGGTGTGAAACTTTCTCTAAACTATCATTAAACTAGCATTATCACTGAACTATTATTATTATGACATGGGCCAGAGCGCAAAGTCAGCGACACCAAAGCAGAGAGATATTTCAGCGTTGGTTTTATGGCATTTTAACTGCTAAACCACCCATGGAAAAAACGTCTCGGGTTACGAGTGTAACCATAGTTCCCCGAGAGGGAATGAGACACTACGTCCCTTAGGGGACACTTTAGGGAATGCCATCAGCATGACCGGTGTCTAAAAAGTGTTTAAAACACTCCAATCCATTGGACCACACTCCGCATTAGCGGAGCACCCGGAAGTATAAGAAATGCTTGTAATGCACATCCACAACTTCTTTGTCTGAAGGAGACGTGACACAGGCAGGCCCTAGGCATGGCAAGGGGACACAGTGTCTCGTTCCCTCTCGGGGAACCATGGTTACATGTGTAACCCGAGATGTTCCCCTTCAAGGGAACTCACACTGCATCCCCTAGTGGACACTATGGGGAACGAAATACCCACTACGCCATGCATTGCCTGTCCACCTGGTGAGAGAGCACCAAAAATAGTGGCAAACATACACCAATTTAAAAAGGGGGCACTTTTGTCTTCAAGCTGATGGCATTCCCTAAAGTGTCCCCGAGGGGACGCAGTGTTGAAGTCCCTTGAAGGGGAACAAACATACAGCTCCTGATATGACATGTTACCTTGGAGTCGGTGCTGATTGGGCGTCGACATTCCATGCAGGTGTTGGTGCAGAACTTGTCAAAGCATCGCACGCAAACTTGTTTCTCGTCTTTCCTCACAAACTTCTTTCCACTGAGGTCTTCGCGACAGTAAAAACAGTTGGAACGACCTGCCATAGTCACCCAATAGACCCTGTGAAAAGTTGTGAGAAATAATAACAGCGATTACCTCTTTGTGCTCATAAAATTTGGTCATAAAAATAGGCCTACATCATGATGTATAAATGCAGAAAAAGAAATAGATCTTGTTTTAGCACGTCTCACACCCCTCACTGTTCAGAGTTTCCTCAGGAAACCGTGAGTGAGGACATTTATTGATAAGAGAGTGTTTGTTCTGTTTTCCCTGAGGCGGAGGTACCAAATTGCTTTAAGTTACGTAACCATAGGTAACAGCAAACAGCACATGTTTTTTATTGTCCTCCGGTCTTATCTTCATCTGATAGCGGTTCAGTTCAGCTGTAAAGCGGGTTAGCAGACTGCCAGACGGGATGAAAGACCTTCTTTCAGTATGATAAATCTAATTGGTAATAATAAAACTGCACATTCATTACACACATTCATACCTAAATCTAATGATGTCATGAACAAACGTAGGAAGTATAATAAAAATTTAATTTGTTATGAGATATTCGATTATAAACATACCGGATCACATTGCAACGAGTGCCTGGTTTGAATTACTTATTGTTTCATTCGCCAAACCAAATCGTCATTGGGAACTTTCCCATGTAGTCATTAAAAATGAAAGCTGGTTACCAAACATTTCTTGGGAATAAAATATTAACTTTTGTGCAACTGCTTCAAACAAATATGTGCGTGTTTTCTAGCATGCGGGCACACATTTGATCGTGTTTATTTTTTTTTCTATATAAGTGCAGAAGTATGTCTGGTATGCATGTGGTGAAATGAGGAATGTTAACAGTTCTTTGATAATGTTTGAATAGGGAACCTCTCATTCACTTCTTGAAACATTTTGCATTGAGCTTACATACTGTATCTGGTTAATTATTTAGCATGCATCAGATTTGAACACTTTCCAGGTGGGTTGTCTGTCAACTAGCCTAACTAATGGCTGTGGTATGACATATTTTACTGGTCTTCACAAAGTCCCAAAGGTTAAGGAAAAATAATGTGTCTACTTTCCTGTCTCCTTTGCAAATGTGAACTCTAAACTAATCCTTTATTGGAAGGAAGCTGGTAGATCCCAAAGTTTCAAATGAAACTGAGCAAGTTGGCCTATATAGTCCATAAATAAGTTTGGCTCAAGTTGTCAAATATCACTGCCAAAACCAGAATCACAGACCTGTTTTTCTGTGTCGTGTATAGTTAGTTTGAGTCCGCTGTACCGACCCAATGGTCCTATTAACACGTCTAAAACCAAACCTCCCATCCATGCTTGTTTTAGACAAGCAGAAGTATTGTTTTATGGACACACGAGAAGTATTTGAACAGTAATGAGGTTTAAATATGCTAGATACTGTTACAGGACTTGACATAAGCGCTCTTGTTTTCCCGAAAGTTTGAAGACTTCTGAAATGTGCTGTTCATGATAAGTTTTTTTTTTCAGTTCTGTGTTTCCTGGTCGGTTAACTTTAATAACAGACCCGATAGACATTAAGGGATCAAATTTTAGATAAGTTCTAACAGTCATGCTCACCAAAGCTCAAAGATCACCGGCTCATACTTTTTTCAAATTTGATTTATGGTGTTTTTATGGGACAGTCAACAGAGGACAGGGCCTGGATTCATAAAACATTTTTAAGGATACAATTTTTCTTAACTACTATTTACTTCTTAATTTCTAGATGGGGAAAAGTTAAATATTTTGTTTTTCTGAAAAGACTTATAAGAGAAAAGAGAATATTTATATATTTAGATATCTTTATTTGTATTTTTTTTCAGATTTCTCTTCTTGAAAATAATGAAAGGGAGACATTCATTCTTGTTATTTTTAATATTTTACTATTATTTTTACTACTTTTACTTTTTACTATTATTTATTGGTATTATGAAATTTTTCTTATTTTTATTAATTAATAATAATTTTGTAAAGATTCAGAGTTCATTATATAGAATAAAAGTGGGGCATTTATATTATTATTATACATATTTTTTCATCATTATTATTTTTCCTTAACTATAATACTTTATTTCTTTAGAAGATTTTCATAAATCGTCCCAAATTCAATCTCATGTCACCCACATATGCACATGTGCTAACCACTAGACTACAGCTCCATTCATATGGTTATAATTAACAGCAAACAGTTTCATTAAAACAAATAAAGAGCAAATAAGGGAACCTGCTAAATGGGTCACAGATAAGCGTGAATGGGGGCATTTTTATAGACGCTGATGTAATGGCGAACTGACAGACCCCTGTTTTAGTCAAATATTTAATGTGATCTCCAGGGAGATGGCAGACTGTTGAGACTGGAATCTGGTTTCAGGATGACCTCATGCACCAGCATCTGGAACACACAGTCGGGCGAGCATAGCAGCCAAAGCAAACGAGGGGAAGAATCGGAACAGTCACGCTGCTTGCGACCTATTGGTTGATGCGATATGAGGCAACTGGAGAGCCTGTGAGACTTCAGCTGAAGAGAAAAATAATATGGTGATACTGATCATGTTTTTTTCCTCCTTTATGCTGCTTTTGCGTGCATTTAGCAAGTTATTTTTCTTCGCAGACTCATAAAAGGGTGTGGTGCATATGATGAAGGCGACCAAATTAGAAGCTGGGCTATGACATCACTTGCTGGTTTAGTTCAAAACATCCCTTTTACAGTAATTACTGCATCTGAAAACCACACACGAACGCACTTGTGCATATGCTCTAACCCAAACAGGGAAACATATGTTGGAAGTACTGTTTTTTTTTCATGCATTTTATGGCACAAATGGTCCTGTTTAGCCAACGTGGGTCATCTGAATTGGGTGTGGTAATGGAATCAACCCTGTTATACAGCTGGGAAAATTGAGGGGGTCTTGGCAGAGTGTTGTGTTGGCATGATCTATATGCTGAGGAATGTGGTGAAAGCTTGGAAACAGGAAGCCTGTGAAACAGCGGTAAGAAGAACAGGCGAGACGGCTGGCCAGCGGCGTAACCATAGTACTCTTGATCTGCACTCCTAAATACACTTTCACAAAGAGGGAACTCAAACAAGACTACCGTCCCTCTCTAGGCAAGTGGGGTTAATCTGGGGCCACATTTTAACCACCATATAATTATCCTGTTTATAATGTTTATAATGTAACCTATTGTTAGTGTCAGGTCAGGTTACTTATTACATGGCATTCTGGAATATTTCATTTGGTCACAGCATTCATTTGGTCTGCGGTCAAATATTTTTTGTGCAGCAGTCGGATTCCGGAATCTTCTCCATAGGGGAATTTATTTTTGACCAACGAGGCTGTTAATTCATGGTATATGCTTTTGTTGAAGCCACCAGTGTGCATTATTTCAACATATTTTTTTAAATATTATTATTGAAATGCAGAATTCAGAATTCATGACTCTAAAAAAATCTCCACCAATCAGAAAATCGAAACAAATGAATCACACAAAAAGAGCTCTTTAGCGTCAACCCACTCCCATGAACCTGCCCTATAAAACTACTTAGATATTTGTATAGCTATGCCTATTATGCAATAAACATATACATTTTTTCTATATACATAATCAACATATCAATATTTCTATATTTTCTCCATTTGATTATGTCATTTGCAATGCTTTATGGGATTGTAGTTCTTTCCCTCAATAAAGCTGTTAAGTACACGGCCTTGTGTGGTACCTTTGTTTTTTTTGTCTGATTTTCAAATACTTTTTTGTTTTAAATTAAATTTTGTAATGTTGTGATTGTGATTCGTAGCTGGTTGGTTTGGTTCTTGGCTTGTAACTCTTTAATGAAGGCTTTTTAAAATCCCTATGGGAAAAATACTAGCGAAAGCAAGGCTGCTGAAAAAAATGGATGGGCATTTAGAAAATATCTGAATTCAAAAGACTGACCGATCAGAAAATTCCAGAGTTATTTAAAGTCCATATTCTGTTACACCAAATACACAAAATAATGATCTTTAAAAAAGCATGATATGACCCCTTTAAAAAAAAATCAGTCCTATGATGTAAATATCAAGTTTAAAACCCAAAGCAAACAATTTGCCAGTAATATTTGTTGTAGCACTCATTGATATCCATCTGCTGTTGTATGTTTATTCTAATACAAAGAGCAGTAGGATACAAAAAACAGAGAATCCCCGAGTTCTTAAATGTTTCAACATATGAATTTGAAAAGGCCCCAACAAGCAAAAATGGTGAGGAAATGAATCACTTTTCATCTGACATGAAAGGAACGGCAAATGCTTTACAGGTCCCCACTGTGCTCTTTGTACCAGGAGAGCAACATCATTTCACGAATGCAAAACTGGATCTGTATGGTCCAGTTTTGAGATATTGATGGTCCATGTCAAATGTTTTTGAGAATAGTTTTGTATTTCCTAAAAAGACCCTTTGTTACAATTGCAAAGGTATTATTAAATAAGTAGTTCACCCAAAAATGAAAATGACCCTCAGGTCATACATGAGTTTGTTTCTTCATTAGAACAGATTTAAATAAATAGACTCCAATCTATTAATTAAACATCTTGTAAAAAGAAAAGCTTCCATAATTAAGTTGTTTTAACTTTAAACTGTCACTTATGGACCAAATATGAGTCCATAATCCATGTTGTAATAAAAAAGTCCATCCCCTGTTGTCCCCTCACATCAAAATCCACAGACATATTTCTTTAGAACTGTTTTGGACTGTTTTTGCTTTTAAATGGTGATTGATCTGTGCATATTTCTCTCCTGGTTCAGACGAGACAACATTTCACTGAAGAAAGCAATTTTATACATAAAGGATTTATATTTTATCTGGAAGCAATGGTTTGAAGTGAAAAAGTCTTAATGATGGATTTGTTTCTTACAAACATGCACCTTTTCACTTCACAAGACATTAATTGAAGGACTTGTGTGGATTAGTTGTGGATTATTGTGATGTTTTCATCAGCTGTTTGGACTCTCATTCTAGCGGCACCCATTCACTGCAGAGGATCCATTGGTGAGCAAGTGATGTAAAGCTACATTTCTCCAAATCTGTTCCGAGGACAAAACAAACTCATCTACAAGTTGGATAGCCTGAAGGTGACTACATTTTAAGCAAATTTTCATTTTTGGGTAAACTAACCTTTAGCCTTTTAAGGAGGTTTCATGCAACTGGCTCCTGATTTGTCAGTCCTGAGTGACTCAAACACATGAGACCGTCCATGTGCCCTTGACACAATACAATACTTGTCTTGTGGTATGTACAGGGAGTTTGGTTCCTTTGTTTAAATGTGCATTAAATCAACACCATATATTCCATTGTTATTCATTTATGAACTGTGTGCAAAAACACATTTGCATATTAATCACCTTAGAAATAATCACACTGAATTCACTGAATCTGTTACCTTCAGCCAGCAAGAAGTGTCCAAATGGGAAAAGGCATAGAAACTAAAAAACGTATGCCAGACATGGTATGATAGCCTATAATTTTTCTGTGTATTTTACTTCCTCGGAATGTGCACCGGATAATGACAGGGAATTATGGACATCAAAGACAGATATCAGATATTTTATATCACTCTCATGGGGTGAATTCCTTCCTGTACATAATTTAGACACAAACTGTCCAGCAGAGTCTCTCACCCCATCAGTCTATGTGGCTAGATCTTTGGAGTGAAAATCTTTAATAAGAAACAGATTTCAGAGGCTGAAAGAACATGCAGAAAATCCCTGCAGCCAACGCCCCATCTTAAACTTACTGTACTTACATCAATGCACTTCATATTCAGACTCCCACACTGCTACAATATCAATGAGGTTAATCAAAATAGCATACTGCACATGTAGAAGGTAGAAAGGTAGAAATTTGATTGGCCAGATTAAATATTAGGCTAAACAGCAAAAGCCAGTTTAAAAAAACAGTTTAAAAACTTAAAAAAGACAGCAGTAATGAGAGATGTTTGTTATTACTTAATGGCAGGTGAAATAAATTCCTGTTGATCATACAAACACCAAACACCAAACTTATTAGAATTTTCTAAAATCTAAAAATATTTTTAATATGATTATTATTATTTATTTACTTTAATATAAAACATTATTTTGCCTCTTTTTATGTCTCTGTTTTCTGATGTTTCCTAGGCACAGGTCTTTGCATGTCAGCAGAGAACCAAGTCCCAGTGATTCTGGATGTTGCGCAATTTTGATTAACATATCCTGTTAAGAAAACGTAAATTTCGCTGACTGAGCTTTTTACCGTTGAGAAAGTTTAACTTACCCTTTCTGGGGTACACGGTGTTCTAAGTGTCCTGTCCACTGCCGCCACAGCAAAGTATAAAATGTTTTGCACTTGGTCCGGTTTTGCGTTGGTTAGTTGTAGAGAAGTCTTAGCTCATAAATATCAATTAGGTCATGATAACGTTCATCGGTGGACTTCCAATGGCTAAGGCGTTCTTATAAATATTAATTATGCATTTCTGACGCTGTACAGTTGCCATCCAATTACGAAGATTTGGCTCATGAATATTAAGAAGCTTTACATAGTAGTATTCATAAATCTACGAGATGTGACGACGGGAAGGACGCGCAACGTTTTATTATTCCTTGCAAAGCAATCAAATTAAGATCCGGTAGTTTCACTCTGTGAAACAGGAGCACTTTCCTTTATGACAAAGGGATTTAAAGTCAATTTTGTAAGATTTTAAATCTCCTTTTGGAGATGGAATGCATTCGTTTGAGTCACAATCTTCAAGTATGTTCAAGCAAAATTGCGACTAGCAATATTTACCGGATGTCAGAATATATTTTAAACAAATGAATCAATGAAGAAAATTACTGCACTCAAATCATTTTCAACACTGGCTTAAAAAGTACATCAAATCTCATTTATTAGAGGATCAATGGGTGTGGAACAGTAACACAACTCTTTCAAATAAGTCACTTTTCCTATGTATTATTAAATCTCTTTGTCATAAGTAAATGTTAATGAGGTAATGATGAGTCAGACAGCACAGTACAAACACCAGATTACCAGACATAGGCACTTATTTATAAAAAATTATCCACACTGAGCCACAAGTTATGTATGACTTTGAAATGATCAATCTGGACACATTAATGCATTCACAATAGATGCAGACATTCAGTCTGATCTAAACACTACTCAAACAGAAAATGTGTTTAGAATCTTTTATGACACATTTGACCAGTAAGGATTTTTTTGGGGAGAAATTAGGAACAGGAGGATTAGCAACCACAACCATTGTACACCAGTGTCTTGACAAATAAATCAATATATATATGGCACAATATAATAAAACAGTAAAAGCATAATCATTTAACTTAATATCTGTGAAAGAAAGCGTCACATAGAGGGCAAGAGGTCAGCAGCTGTCTGGCAGGCTTAGACTCGGTGGCGCAGAGGGTCCGACAGGGGCGGGGATGGCGGAGGAGGAGGGAATGACGTCAGGGGGTCTGGAGGCTCATCTGTGGGGAGAACCAGACGGGTGCCTCCGAACACAAGCTCCCTGTCGAGAGGATCGTCTGAGGTTCCTGCTAGTGAGTAAAGCCCAGCCTGGCTGGTGGGCATGCCATGGGCATCCGTGCTGACCGTCATGTCACTGTACATCAAACTGCTGCCATCATTCAGAATCAGCTCTGTGTCCTCATCATGCAACTGACCGGCATTCTAGCAGAAGGGGACAGAAAACCCATGATTTGCACTCCTGTATTCTGATTACACTCCTATGTTCATATGATTTTACACATTTCTACACTGTAGTATGAGCCAACAGCAGCTGAATGTGTTCATAGGTTTACCTCATAGGCTTGCGAGCTGGTGAGACAGCGTGCTATTGGACCACAGCAGGCCGGCAGAGTGGAAGTGAGAGGAGGCCCACTGTGAGTGAGGAAGGGTTTTAAATAACTGGAACACTTCGTTAAGGATTAAAAGTATACTACTCCTATTTATTATTAATTACACTAAAAGAAGTCTCTTATGCTTGCCAAGGCTACATTTAAAAAATACAGATAAAAATAAAAAATACAGTAAACAGCAATATTGTAAAATAGTATGACAATTTAAAATAATTGTTTTCTAATTGAATAGTTTATAAAATGTAATTCACTCCTGTGATGGTAAAGCTGAATTTTCAGCATCATTACTCCAGTCTTCAGTGTCACATGATTCTTCAGAAATAATTCTATTATGCTAATTTGCTGCTCAAGTAAGTTATTATCAATGTTGAAAACAGCTGCTTAATATTTTTGTGGAAACCGTGATACATTTTTCTCAGGATCTCAGAAATAATGTTTTGTAACAAATGATTTAACTGTCACTTTTGATCAATTTAATGCATTCAATTTTATGAATATAAAGTTAAAAAAAATTATAATAAATGTCTTTACTGTCACACTCAATGAATACATATAATTACATAATCTGCACATTTATTATATTTTGCACGTTTACCATTTTGACCATGTCATGCAGTGACATTTATTTCTCACTTTTTCATAATTTATTTATATATTGTATGCCTATTTATAGTTCAGGCTTGGACGCTCACTGTATTTCATCAGCATTGTACCTGCACTTTGCACAATGACAATAAAGCTGAAATTGAATAGAATAATAATAATAATAAATTATGAGAATCATCATAATCATTTCATTTGCAAGTTTTGTCAAAATATTTAGTTTAAGGTTTCCCCCTGGGGGTTTGTGAAGGAATTGCAGGGGGTTCATGAGTTTATGAAAAGCTAGCGATTAAAACAAAAACCTTAAAAAAAAAACATTTCACAAATAAAACAATAAATCAAAAAAAACGTACTAAAAAATAAAATATATTTGTTTACCTGCATGTCATGTGACCATTAACTCACATGTGGTGTTAAATTATTTAAACATTTACTTAAAAACTCATACTCAGGCTGACAAAACATTGAGTATTCCTGTACTAGTGAAACACAGATGGAAAAATCAAAGTTTGATGTAAATTTTACTGCTGATCATGAGCAGGGTGCTGTTTAAAATGCTGCACTGAAGACATACTGCTGGAGATGTAAAATATATTACGGTTGCCTAAGTTTGTCTAATCTAATATGTAGGGTGTATGGTCAAAAAACATTCTGATTTATAAATAAATCATGTATAATGGACAATTTAAATGTTGATACAGCTAGGCAGAACTACTGAAGGATACTTGTGGTCAAAAGTGTACCACAGTCTGAACGGCCAGGCGCTCTCATGCTTGGTATTTCTTTGTGTCATCCCATCCGGTGCTGTGACCTATATGAGCAGAGAGAAAAACACAAGACAAGAGAGGTAATGTAGTCTGTTATACTACCCTTATGATTCAGATTTGTACAGTAAATATTTGAACGTTAAACAGTGTTTTTCTGATATCAACTGTTGCATATTGAGCAGACATGAGTAGAACTTACCGAATTATCTTGATCTGTGTCCACTCCCACTCTGTGGAAAGATAATGTGATTTAAGCAAAAGACAATGAAAGAAAGACATCATTTGCTTTCAGAATGTAACCGAGACTCACCTAATCTGCATGAGTGACAGCATGGGGGTCGTCCCACCACCACAGACCCACACAGTGAAGAAAACGATCAGTAGGGTGGTGGAAAACATCATCTGCCTGGCGTAAGTTGCAGTGTCCCTAATTGAGAGGGCAAAGGTCATTGCCCCTCGAAGCCCTGTGAGGTCAGCATGACATCATCACCAACAGAAAAAAGGACATTACGCACTTCAAATGTCTCTGATTGCTGCAGGTATTACCTGAAAACATCATGACATGCTGGAAATTGGAGGCGATTTTATTCTTGCGGCCCAAGTTTAACAGGAAAGACAAGGGGTAGATGTTAGCCGCCCTGCCGAGAAATATGGCCAGCTAAAACGAAAGCCACAGTCAAGGATAATGTGTGAATGTTTATCTGTACACAATTCATGAGTACAGCACAAACACACTGCTACAAAAGGATACAAATGCACCTATGATGAAGAAGGGATTGAACACATGGTGCTGGAAGGAGAAAAGTGTCAAGCCCATATAAGAGAAGATGAAGTTTTCAGCCAGGAAATCAAGAAGCTCAAACAACTGTTGGGGAAACGGAGGAAAATACTATCATTATACAAATCTTTAAAGGTGGGGTAAGTGATTTTTCAAAAACGCTTTAGAAAACTGATTCGGGCTGACTAGCAAAACAAACTTGTAGCCAATCAGCAGTAAGGGGCGTGTCTACTCATGATGTGGAGGAGAGAGCGTTCAGTGCACAGGACGGACATTACAAATGTCAACATTGGCTACCAGAAATCGCTTGCCCCACCTTTAACACAGAAAACAGAGAATTCTTCAACCGTGAGACGTCCCATTAAAACATAAACAATTTGTATAGTTGTTTGTATGTTACCTGTTTGGATCTACTCTTCGATTCAGCAGAAAGGTTGTTGTATGTATAGTGAGCTTGAGTAATGCCACAGAAGAGCACTGCAACCACACCTAAACACAGACACAAACATAAAATGTAAATATTATTACAATGTTTTGTATTAATTTATTCATGTGGTGGCAAATCTGAATGTTTAGCAGTCATTACTCCAGTCTTCAGTCACATGATCCTTCAGAAATAATTCTAATATGCTGATTTGCTGCTTAAGAAATCTTACTATTATTTTCAAAACGGTTTTTGCAGTTTAATATTTTTGTGGAAACCGTGAAACATCAGTTCTTTTAAATTGTAATAATATTTCACAATATTACTGTTTTTTTGATCAAATCAATGCAGTCTATTGAGCAACTTATTCCACGATTAACCAATTAGAATAAAGTATTCCTGCAATAATAAAGCAATTTAGAGACGCCACCTGTCTGCATAAACTAACAGTATGACTTTTTCCATGATATTATATACAACATATATGATATATCTATCATAGTGTTGCCATAGTTACCTGTGAAGCTGCAAGCCTCAGCCAATAGGAACGTACTCCAGGACATGAGGAAGAAAAGGGCTGTTTCCAGCAAGGGGAAATCTCTCAGCTTGGTGAACTTTGTGACCTAAATAGAAGCACATATTAATAGAGAAACTACCTTAGACAGGTTTAAACTGATTGTTTTGGCTAGTTTATGTGAATTAAATAATAATAATTATATATACTGTATATATATATATATATATATATATATATACCAGAGCTGTCATGACTCCAGTTGCAGCCCCCATTGCAAAAGACCCACTGAAAACTCCCAGAAAGACACCCAGTGACTTGAGCAGGGCACTGCCGTCAAATGTGTGACGATTGTCTCCCTCAGGCTGGTATGCCACTATTGATCTGTTAGTAGGTGAGAAAGACAATATCTTCTTCA